AGTAGTTCTCTAATTCTGCTCTCATAACAGGCCAGTAGAAGCGGTCCCTAACCAATCTAAAGGTGTGATCTGGTCCTACCTGCCCATGTTTATCATGAAGAGCCATTAGTACAGACTTTCTGTGTTTCTCTTGGAGGAACAACTGCCACCTTTCTCTCAAATCTCCTGAAGGACACCTCCAATAGATAATGCCGTCTCGTATCTTGGAATTTATGATGGAACCATTTAGTAGCAGGCAGGGATCTTGTTTGGTCATAGCTTTCAAGGTTAAACTGCAGAGAGGGTCCTCACTGTGATCTGCCTTTAAGTCTTTCTTTGACAACTGTGGGAGCCCCTTGCTTCTCACTTGGGACAGATCGCAGTAACTGTTGGGCACTCCTGCTGGGGTGACTCCAATGGCCTCAGCTCCAATAGCTCCTTTGTGCCAATGATCAATGCCTTGGCACAAAGCCTGGACTCCCTCAAAAATCACATGTTCAGCTTTCTGAACCTCTGTCTAGATTATATGGTCTCCGGGATAAAGTGTGAGCATCTCAGTTTCCTACTCCCGGACGATACTTCAAACTGAACTGAAATCCCGACAAGGCAACTAGCCAACAATGTCCAGAGGCATCTAACTTGGCTGTTGTCGTGAGATATGTTAGGGGATTCTTGTCTGTCTTGACTTCAAAAGGAGGCCCTTTTGAAGTCAATCCTTCAATTTGTCGATGATGGCCCAATTCAGGGCCAAGAACTCCAACTTATGTACCAGGTAGTTTTTCTCAGATGGAGTAAGACTACGGCTTACGTAAGCTATGTATAGTATAGGACCCCACCCAGCCCCTCTCGACTGGCGTCCACATGGAGCTCATATGGTTTGGTAGGATCTGTGTACACCAGCACTGGAGCTTACGTAAGGCTTTTCTTAAGGTGATGGAAAGCTCTCACACTGGAAAGTCTATCTCTCCTGAATGGATTCTTGTGACTTTCAAGCTCTTCGCCTAACTTATTTATTTATTTCAGATACTTGTATGGCACTGTCAATTTTACGCAGCGCTTTACATATATATTGTACATTCACATCAGTCCCTAACCCTCAAGGGGTGTACAATCTAAGGTCCCTAACTTACATTCATACATAGACATACTAGGGTCAATTTACTTGACCCGCCTTGCAATTCTCACCTTCACCTTTCCCTTCATGTAGTAACTCACTGAGTGGGCAGGCAATCTTTGCGAAATCCACCACGAATCTTTGATAATAGGAGCAGAACCCTAACAAGGCCTTAATTCAGTGACTGTTCTTGGTCTGGGCCACATGGTAAGCACCTCCAGCTTCTTAGGGTCAGTGGAAAGCCCTTCTGCTGAATCAACATGCTCTAGGTAGGTGACAGAAGTTTGATAGAACCCTCATTTCTCCAATGACAACTTCAGTCCTTCTTCATGGAGCCTCAGAAGAACTTTCTCAAGTCTTGCTTCGTGTTCTTCCAAAGTCTTCCCAAAAACAATGAGGCCACCCAAGTACACCAAGACCTCAGATTTTTGTCTCCCACTGTGCGCTCCATGAGCCGTTGGAATGTGGCAAGAGCCCCTGATAGTCCTTGAGGCATCCAACTGAACTCAAAGAACCCTTATGAGCATATGAACGCTGTCTTTTCTTCTCAATCGTCCGGATGCATGGGGATCTGATAGTAACCACTTTTCAGTCTAGGATACTGAATCATTTTGCCTCAACAGATATCGATGGGCATCTTCAGTTCAAGGAGCGGTGTACTGATTGGGAATGGTTCTTCTGTTCAGACTTCTGTAGTCAATACCCAATCACAGGGTCCAATTTTTTTTCCTCACTACAACTATAGGAGAAGTGTAAGGGCTCCTGGATTCTCAAATGACTCCTGACTTTTTCAGCTCAGCAAGTTGCTCTCTGAAGTCTTCTAGGTCACTCAAATTTATTTGACATGCTCTCTCTCTAAACAGCCTGTCTTCCTGATGCTGAATCCTATGCCGAGAACATCACACGTCAAAGTCATTCTTAGAAAATATCTTTTTCCATCTTAACAACCGATCCTTGACTGTTTTCTCCCAGTTAGGAGATAGTGGTGTGCGAGGAAGAAGACTCCCCTTCCAAGTTTCCTCTGGTCTCTCCCTTCACCAAACCAGTAGATGTTACCGCAGTAGCTGAACTTACTTATCCAATCAATATTCGGGGCTTTAACCTGATGGGGGAGTCAGGTACATGCCGGACACTAACTGGCACCTTCCCTTAAATTCTGGGACTCTTGTGGGCACTTTTTCAGGGACCAGCTCTTCTCTCATCTTTTCTTGTCATGAATCAGACTCCAAGACGATGAAGGGTCCTGGCTGATACCAAGTCAACTTGACTGTGGCCTTCATACAGACTATTTCACCAGGCTGCAGCACTCTTTCCCTGGCTCCTAGCTTGCACAGTCTTCCCACTCCTTCCACTGGGGCTCTCTGCTCCCAAACCACCCATCGAAAGACTTTATGCAATTGAGGGTGTATTCCCTTGAGTGTGAGATCTTCTTTCTCAAGTATACAGAATACAAGTAGCCAGAACTAGGAAAGCTTCTTAATGGAAGTCTTTATTGGTTACATAAATACAGGATCTATAAAGCTAACACGTTTCGGCTTCACAAAGCCTTATTCATAGCAATCTCACTAGGTCAGTGTTGGTTCCAATTAATAGGGAGTTTTGTCTTGTCCTTGGTGGTCTGAAACATAAAACTTAACATATTAAATGTCTCGGTCTTCCCCGTGGTCAAGGGACCAAAGGTTATTTTATTTGGAATGTAACCATCATAGGGGAATTTTTAAAAGCTGATACCCCAAATCTTAAACTCTTCCAACTTGAGTAAAGAGATATGTTTCAGATACTTTTCATAAAAATCTCGGTATAGCAAGGTCACCTGAATCCTGGTGTCTAGTAGTGCCTTAGTGTACACTCCGTCCACCTGAGCTGACACTATACAAGGGGCCTACAAGTTTTTCAGGTAAGTCAACTGGCGTTACATGGTTGGTTTGACCTTTTGTTCTCCCTGCTAGTTGTTGGAATGATCTGATAGTGACTTTAGATTGAGATGGTGCATTTCCCCTTGGCTCTGGTGGCTTTCAATTGAGCTTCATTGAGGATTCTGCTGAATTTCTAGCAGAATTATTCCTAAATTTTTGCTTGGATCTCAGACTCTTCTGTCTTTTGGAGCATTGGCTTTACTCTGGGCCCTCAGTTAGCTCCTTCCCTAAGGCCCCTCTGGGGGTTTCTCCCTTTCTTAGCGAGGAGAAACTTCTGTATTGCCCTTAGCAATTCATCCATTAGGTCCTGCTCAGTCATTTTCCTGGGGCACTGAGCCCTAAAACATTCATGTTCTCCTTACTGGAAGCACTTCCGCTTTTCATAGGCTGAAGCATGGGCTCCCCTCTGATCTGGTATGGCTGCCTGCATTTTTCACTTGTGTCTCCATGGCCCACAGCAAGCTTTGCTATTTGATTCTGAACTTGAGCAATCTGAGTAAGCAGACCAGCTGGGGCTGCTTCACTGATGGTTTTGGAAATTGGAGAGCTTGTGTGTTCATTTGCTTCTGTCTTCTCGTTACTAACCTCATCAGTGAAATACTTATCTGCCTGTACCACTGAAGTCGACACTTTCCTTTCTTGGAAGCAGATATTGGCAGTTCTCCCAGTCTTTGATTCTTCTCCTCTAATAAAGCTTCCTCCTCTCTCACTAATTCTGGGAAAGTGGGGGTTGCTTGGGATCCCTTGAAGTAATAGTTTCAGCACAGTCAGGTGATTAGGAAATGCACCTTGTAAAATCCACTCCAAGCAGACTTTGCCAGCATCCCAAGGATCAATCCCTTTCTTTAAGATAATCTGATGTAGAATTTTATCCACTCGTGTAATGTATTCAGAAAGTCTCTCACCCCTACTCTATCATGAGTGTGCTTGAGCTTGTACATAAGGTCTGGAAGTTTCTCCACTCAGCGGAACACAGCACATAAAGCATCAATATAGTCTATTGCTACACAATCCTGCTTTCCCATCCTCAGACTATGAATCACATCAGTTGCATGTCCTCTAAGACTCTAGTCTGTATTTCTTGAGTACTTCTGGGACATTCCATTTCTCCACAGTCTGTGTTGCCTGATCCATCCATGTTTCAAACTCTTCCTCTTCCGGGTAAGCGAGGGGGGGGGGGGTTTGGTGAGAATCCGCCCCAAGAAAATGTGAAGCTTCCGATATCCTTGACAGACAGAAGCAGATCTATCCTTACCAAGTCCTCCACTAACTTGCTCATGCCTCTAGAATGAGGCAGGGGAAACCCAATTAGGAGTCGGTCAGCATCCACGGACACCAGACCTACCGCTCTTGCTCGTGTGTGGTCCCCCAGTGATTCACCTGTGGACAGCAATGGGAAGACCCGGGCCTCAACCCCTTCTACCAAACCTATGCTGGCCTTCTGGAAACAAGCAAGTATAACTTCCTTCTACTCAAGTAATACGCTAGTGCAGTCCATAGCACATTCCTTCCTCATGTCTGTGAGATAGGCCCCCTGGTCTGGCACCAGATTCTTTACCAGCTGACAGACTTCCCTCTCAGTTCATTCAATTTCTGGTATCTCAACCACTGTACAGTTCCAGATGGATGCCTCGCTCTCGGCCCCACTCAACCACGGCAGTTACATATTTTTTTCCTCTGCTTGATATGCAAAACAGTTGCAACTGACTACAGTTTTATTTTTTTATTTTTTTAAGTGCTTCTTAACCACTTCCCGACCGGCCGTTGTATATAAATGGCCGGACGGTGGCACTGCAGGGTCGGGTGGCCGTTTACAAACGGCCTCCCCGCACCCTGCTTGTGCGCGCTCCCCGGGAGCATGCAGCACCACGATCCGGTGCCCACTGTGTCCCCTGGACACAGTGAAACACTGATCATTGGACGGGACCTCTGTACGAGGTCCCGATCATGTAATCACTGATTGGCCAATCAGTGATCACATGCAAAGTAGTAAGCAAGATGTCACTTTTGACATCATTGTTTACTACATGTGAAATCTGTGAATGATCACAGAGGTCACATGGTACAAGGCTATTCACAACAGCCTTGTACCATGTGACAAGCTGTGACCAATCTCAGCTCACTCAGTAGTTCTCAATGGCTGCAAGAATGCAGACAGAGAGAAAGAGAAATTATTGCTTTTACATCCTATATGGGTGTAAAAGCAATCAGTGTAAAAAAAAAAAAAATCTTATCACCCCCCAAAAGTAGTACAGTGTCACCATGGTGACACTGTGTTGCTAGGGTGACAGTATGTAAAAAAATAAATAAATAAAATAAATAATAATATAAAAAAAAATGTAAAAAAAAAGTTTAAAAATTATAATTTTTGGTTATAAACTAATTTGGCTTATTTGTTTTTACTAAAAAGATAACGGAATAAATTTTGGCCAAGATTTATGATTAAATATTATTTATTTGCAAAATTTTATAAGAAAACACTTTTTTTCAAAATTTTTGGACATTTTCATTTACATAGCAAAAAAATAAAAATCCCAGCGGTGAACAAATACCACCAAAATAAAGTTTTATCTGTCACAAAACAATGGTAAAAAATGCATATGGGTACAGTGTTGCATGACCACTCAATTGTCATTCAAAGTGTGATAGCGCTGAAAGCTGAAAATTGCCCTGGTCAGGAAGGGGTAAAAGTGTCCGACTGGAAGTGGTTAAAGCCAGAAGGAATGTTAAATGAAAATAGTTTTGAGGCATGTCTGTGATTACTTTTTTTCTATATAATTGAAAACAGTTGAATGAACATTTTCCAAGAGTGGTGATTCCATACTTTTTGCCAGGGGTTGTAGGATAATAATGCAAGAGACACAATTCTTTAGTAACACCTCTATATTTGACTTATTAAAAAGAGTAGACTACAAGAAAAATGGGTTTAGGATATACAACACCCGTTAACAGGCCCAGACTAGGGCAAAAAAATTGGCCTGGGCATTTTAGACTGATAGACTGAGCAGCTCTTTTTTTTTTAAATATCGCTCAGGTCCTCCATCATGATAGAGGCGATCAAAGAGCATAGAGTCTTTCATCACCGCCATCTTGAGAAGGCCACACAATCAGATTGTTTCCCCGGCCTTAACCACTTCCAGACTGGACACTTTTACCCCCTTCCTGACCAGGGCAATTTTCAGCTTTCAGCGCTATCACACTTTGAATGACAATTGCGCAGTCATGCAACACTGTACCCAAATTAAATTTTTACCATTTTTTTGAGACAGATAAAGCTTTATTTTGGTGGTATTTATTCGCCGCTGGGATTTTTATTTTTTTTTTGCTATGTAAATGAAAAAGTCCAAAAATTTTGAGTGTTTTGAGTTTAAAAGTGTTTTTTTTATAACATTTTGCAAATAAATTATATTTCATCATAAATCTTTGCCAAAATTTATTCCGCTATCTTTTTAGTAAAAAAAACAAATTAGTTTATAACCAAAAATTATAATTTTTAAACTTTGTTTTACATTTTTATTTTATTTTTTTATATTATTTTTTATTAATTTATTTTTTTTACATACTGTCACCCTAGCAGTACAGTGTCACCATGGTGACACTGTACTACTTGTGGGGGGTGATGAAGATTTTTTTTTACACTGATTGCTTTTACACCCATATAGGATGTAAAAGCAATCATTTCTCTTTCTCATTGAGAAGTACTGAGTGAGCTGTGATTGATGACAGCTTGTCACATGGTACAAGGCTGTTGTGAATAGCCTTGTACCATGTGACCTCTGTGATCATTCACAGATTTCACACGTAGTAAGCAATGATGTCACAAGTGACATCTTGCTTACTACTTTGCATGTGATCACTGATTGGCCAATCAGTGATCACATGATCGGGACCTCGTACAGAGGTCCCGTCCGACGATCGGTGTTTCACTGTGTCTGGAGGACACAGCAGGCACCGGATCGTGATGCTGTGCGCTCCCAGAGAGCGCGCACAAGCAGGGTGCGGGAAGGCCGTTCATAAACGGCCACCCGACCCTGCACTGCCACCGTCCAGCCGTTTATATGCAACGGCCGGTCGGGAAGTGGTTAAAGGTAAGCCCGAGAAACAGGGGCGAGCAGTGGAAGGGAGGGGACGTCCCCTCCCTCTGCTACGGAAAGCGATCCAGTAGCTCAAGAGCCACTTTCAGAAGCCGGCTGTCTGCAGAAAAAAACAATACTGGGGTTATAGCTGATTTCTTTAGCCATAACCCCAGTAAACCACATGAAAACCATTAGGGCCCGGCTCACACTGCCATGATGCGGCACATTGCATGTGACTCGCACAAGAATTGCACCACATTCCTGTGCAAATCACATGCAGTTTTGCAGCAGTGTGATTTGAGCCTATTCATTTTGTAGGTCTAAAATTGCATTGCATCCGTGCCAAAATGGTGCAGGACCCTTTTTATGCTGCACCCGATTTGGATCACATGGGTGTGAACATCCATGCAATCTGATTCTGCAAATCGCATTGCATTTTGTGAACCAAATCTGGGGTGTTGTTAACATACACACCCGCAGTGGTATGCATGAATGGAGTGCAACTTTGATGTGGTGCTGGAAATGCACAGAACTCTGCAAATTCTACACCACATCATTGTGAATTCCACACTGCACTGATGTGGTTTGGAATTTGGCAATTTATGTGTGTTTCCAGCACCGCATCAAAATCGAACTGCATTCATATGAACTGCTGCAGGTGTGTATGTTAAGTTAAAAGTTCCTGGTACGGTGGTGTCCGTTTTCTTCTGTTAGCAATGGTTGGGCCCATAAACAGTAGTGAATGCTTGTAATTGAAATGAAGTTAAACAATTAGGCTGTGGTACTGCTTGAAGCAAAGATCTCTTGGTACTGAGGTGTAAAGGGGTCTTCATGCAGTGCCTCTAGAGTGATAGTAGAAACAGGTTGGGCATCCACCCGCTCATCAATCCCATGAATAGTATGGCCTCCTATGAACAAGAGTTCTTGGCTGTTTGCAGGGAAGTGCAGAGTTACCACCTGATGGCCTGTCAGGGCATAGTGCAGAGATGTCTGTGTGAGGACTGGATAGTGACAGTCCCCATGCAGAGAAGTAGATCTGATCCCATTGTGGTGATCAGTATCATTGCTGTGCTGAATGAGCAGAGTCCCCCAGCAGAAGGCAAATAATCTGTCTCTGGAGGAGAGTGGCAGTCCCCTTGTGTTCAGCTCTGAATCCCATGCCAAGAGAGCGAGCAGCAAGTTCCTTGCTGTAGAATATATCTGCTCTCCCAGCAACCTTCCAGTTCCCCAGCTCTCTGGTAGTTCTATTTCAATCAGCACTTAAAAAACACAGCATGTATCAGCTATAGGACTACAGGTCCCAGGATCCTTTTCTGTCAGAAGAACTGGATCCACTCTGCTAACCAGAAGTGATGTAGCAGTCCCAATATTGGGCACTAAGGAGAAAAAGGATTAACCATAGTTTCCTCTGTAAATGTCCCTGAATGGCATAATGATATAGCCAGCACCTGGCTACAGTATATAATGTATATTTATATACAGTATATAGAAAGAATTTGTTTACTCATAATGTACTCTAAGTCCCAATGCAGATATAAGGATATTTCATGCCTACTTCTAGAGAAGATGCTTTGTGCAGCTGAACAATGTGATTTGTTTGCTTCATGTCATTTCTATAGTAAAAGTGTATTCATATGCCAAGAATATTTATCATGCTCTAAACACCACATGCCTACGGCTACATGAGTGGCAATGTAACATTTAATCATTACCCTGCTCTTTGTATACTTTTTCCATTTATTTTTTGGTTTACCTCGTGTTACCCATTAAAACATTAGTGAAGTGGTATGATAGAGGGGGATGAGTTCTTTGAGTTGGTTAGATACATATCAAGGTTATTAATATTTTCATTTATATAGGTCCATCATCTAAAACGTTTTACAGCAGGATATACAGTAGATACACAAACTGTGTATATACAGCTGTTTAAACAGGTTACATAGAAGACAGGACCTATCAGAGGCTTGCACTTTAGAGAATATACACTATATTGCCAAAAGTATTGGGAAAAAATCATTGGATTCAGATGTTCCAATCACTCCGATGGCCACAGGTGTATAAAATCAAACACCTAGGCATGCAGACTGCTTCTACAAACATTTGTGAAAGAATGGGTCGTTCTCAAGTGCTCAGTGAATTCAAGTGTGGTACTGTGATAGGTTGCCACCTGTGCAATAAGTCATCCGTGAAATTTCCTTGCTACTAAATTACATAGTTAGTCTGGCTGAAAAAAGACAAAAGTCCATCCAGTTCAACCATAAAAAAAAAAAAAAAAGAAAAAAGTTATAATCCTATACTCACAGTTGATCCAGAGGAAGGCAAACAAAACCCAGCAAAGCATGATCCAATTTGCTCCTGCTGGGAAAAAAAATTCCTTCCTGATCCCCCGAGAGGCAATTGGATATTCCCTGGATCAACTTTACCTAGAAAGTTAGTATCCAGTTATAGTCTGTTTATCTAGGAAAGAATCCAGACCTTTTTTGAAGCAATCCACTGAGCTGGCCAGAACCAACTCTTGAGGGAGTCTATTCCACATCTTCACAGCTCTCACTGTGAAGAAACCTTTCCGTGTTTGGAGATTACGTAAAGAGTGCCCCCTTGTCCTCTGTGATGACCTTAGGGTGAATAGCTCCACACCGAATTCACTATATGAACCACTGATGTTAATCATATCCCCCCTTAATCTCCTCTTCACAAGAGAGAATAAATTCAGTTCCTCTAATCTTTCCTCATAGCTGATCTCCTCCATGCCTCTTAACAGTTTGGTTGCCCTTCTTTGTACTTTCTCCAGTTCCCCAATGTTTTTTTTGTGAATTGGTGCCCAACACTGAACTGCATTTTCCAGATGAGGTCTTACTAATGATTTGTACAGGGCTAATATGATATCTCTCTCTTTGGAGTCTATACCTCTTTTAATTCAAGAGAGGATTTTGCTTGCTTTAGAAACCGAAGCTTAGAATTGCATGTCATTATTAAGCTTGTGATCTACCAGAACCCCCAGATCCTTCTCCACCATTGATTCCCCCAGTTGTACTCCCCCTAGTATGTATGATACATGCATATTCTTAGCCCCCAAGTGCATAAACTTACATTTAACAACAATAAACCTCATTTGCCACATAGTTGCCCAATTAAACAGTGCATTGAGGTCGGCTTATAAATTGAAGACATCCTGTAAGGACGTTATTCCACTGCACAGCTCAGTGTCATCTGCAAAGACTGAAATGGTATTTTTAATCCCAGACCCTATATCATTTATAAATATATTAAAAAGTAAGGGTCCCAACACTGAACCTTGGGGTACACCACTGACACCCCTAGACCATTCAGAGTATGAATCATTAACCACTACTCTTTGAATACGATCTATTAGCCAGTTTTCTATCCATTTACATACAGATTTTTCCAAGCCCGTAGACTTTACCTTACACATTAGCTGTATGTGGGGAACTGTGTCAAACACTTTTGCAAAATCCAGGTATACCACGTCTACCGCCACCCCTCTGTCCAAGGTTTTGCTCACCCCCTCATAAAAAGAAATCAGATTTATTTGACAACTTCTGTCTCTCATGAATCCATGCTGTCTGTTGCTTAAAATATTTTTTTCCAGCAAGAACTCATCTATGTGGTCTTTTATTAAACTCTCCAGTATCTTCCCAACTATAGAAGTTAAACTAACAGGTCTATAATTACTAAATATTCCACTGTCAACTGTTAGTGATAATATAACAAAGTGGAAGCAACTGGGAACAACAGCAACGCAGCCACAATGTGGTAGGCCACGTAAAATGACAGAGCGGGGTCAGTGCATGCTGAAGTGCACAGTGCGCAGAAGTCGTCAACTGTCTGCAGAGTCAATAGCTAAAAACCTCCAAACTTCGTGTTGCCTTCACATTAGCACAACAGTGGGTAGAGAGCATCATGGAATGGGTTTGCAAGCCTTACATCACCAAGTGCAATGCAAAGCGTTGGATGCAGTGGTGTAAAGTACAAGGGCATTGGACTCTAGAGCAGTAGAGACGTGTTCTCTGGGGTATCGTATCACGCTTCTCTGTCTGGCAATCCAAAGGACATCAAAGACGAATTCTTGTGAGTATATTTTTTACAATTAATAAATTTTGGTTACTGAGGTAATGCGCAAGGTTGGTGCGCTTCTCGTTTTCATTTAATCCAAAGGACATGTCTGGGTTTAGCGGTTGTCAGAAGAATGGTACTTGCCTGACTGCATTGTGCCAAGTGTAAAGTTTGGTGGAGGGGGGGGGGGATTATAGTGTGGGCTTGTTTTTCAGGTGTTGGGCTTGGCCCCTTAGTTCAAGTGAAGGCAACTCTTAAGGTATCAGCATACCAAGACATTTTGGACAATTGTATGCCCCCAACTTTGTGGGAACGTTTAGGGATGGCCCCAACATGACTGCACACCAGTGCACATACCAAGGTCCATAAAGACATAGATGAGCGAGTTTGGGGTGGAGGGACTTGACTGGCCTGCAGTCCTGACCTCAACTTGATAAAGCACCTTTGGGATGAATTAGAGCAGAGACTGCGAGCCAGGCCTTCTCGTCCGACATCAATGCCTGACTTCACAAATGTGCTTCTTGAAGAAATGGTCAAATATTCCCTTAGATACACTCCTAAACCTTGTGGACAGCCTTCCCAGAAGAGTTGAAACTGTTATAGCTACAAAGGGAGAGCCAACTCAATATTGAACCCTATGGAATAAAACTGGGATGCCATTAAAGTGCATGTCCTTGTAAAGGAAAGTGCCCCAATACTTTTGGCAATATAGTGTATATTGTATTGGGTGAATGCGATTGCCTTTTTCAGCATGACTATG